CTCTGCCAACACTAACCATGATAAAGGTTATATAGGCCTGTTTTGCGATGGATGAAAATTGGATGGGTTATCAGCAATGATCCCTTGTCAAATATTCCTCCAGATGATCTGTTTCAAACCCAGCCTTCCAGCACGCACTTGACTGTACTTCAGGTAGTGTTATTGCCAGGTCGACAATCCCTCACTGCAGTTTTAGGTGATGATAGAACTGACTGTCCTCTCTTTGTTTAAAAGCAAAACCATGGTCCAGACCTAGAAATAAGACTATCTTATGGTCAGATGTTTTAACCTTCAAATAAACCACAGTAATATTTCAACAATGAAACGATGACAACTACTACTTGAAGATGAGTCTTGGCTATAGCCTCCTTTTCTCTTTTTCTTCTGTACACAAAAGCAGAGAGCTGGTTTCTGGTATCATTTTTTTTCCTAAGGGAAAGATTTTGGTACAGAAATTTGCTACTTTTTTTATCCTTTCTTTTCCCCATTTGCTTTCTAGTCCTTTTTATGCAGGGATACACCTCCTGGTTCCTTGCACCTTTTTTCCCAATGGGAACCATGTGTTCCAGAAATTTGCAACTTTTATTAGTCTGTTCCATTTTGCTTTTTTTATTCCATTGCGGGAAAAAAAAATCACTACTTCTGAAGTGCCTTTTCCTTTTGTCATCTCCGACGTTTGCCATCTGCTGCTTTCTGTGTCGTGGAGTGGGTTTTGGTGCTGGTGCTGGTGGGTTTTTGTGCTCGGCTTGGTTTTTATTAGTACCCCTGCTATCAGAGATCGATCGAAAGAGTTTGTGTATGTGAATGGTTTTAGGCGTTTTATTTTGCACTGACAAACTTGATAGGTGATAACGTTTGGCCACCGCATAAACATCATTTGCTTGCATTATTTTGGCCTGAGAGAGATTTACAAGCAACCTCACCTTAATAAATAACTTCAGTTTTGCAACATTGAGAAATAAGAAGTTAAAGATTTGAAGTTCGCTGGGGATACATATGTATAATTTAACACTGTTGGGTAAAAGATGTAAATTTTGAGCTTGGATGTGTGGGAAACATGAATTTCTGTCGTTATATAGTCACAGGCATGTCTCTAAAGCTATGCCAAATTATAATATTTGCATAAATATTTATATAAATATGCTATACTTGCATAGCATTTGTAGGGGGTTTATAGCTAACTTAATTTACCATTTCACTATGAGACTGAGTTGAAGTAACAGCTAAGTGCTTCCAGAATGGCAAATAACATTCCTTTGAGTTCCTTAAGTTTAGGTTTTAGTGATGCAGACTCTGGTGTTGCCTTGTACATGGAAATCAATATGCATGTGAAGTGAATATTGTGGATTGTGTCTTTTAACATACAACATCCAGGCTCTGTGTTTCTAAAGTAGATGCTGTTCCATGAACAAATAGGGGAAAAAAATGGGAATAAGGTGCTGGAAGGATTTTCTCCTATATTTTTACTAAGACACGCTGAGATTACCATAGATCTGGCTTTGTCTGATGCTTTGTACATTTATGCAGTCCAGAATAATAAGACCACTTAAAACCATGGATGTTTCATTTCTGTGGGTGGTTTTTGTGGCTTTTGGTTTGGGGGTTTATTTGGGGAGTGTGTGTGGGGGTTTGTTTTGCCTATTTTTTTAGCAGTGATCATGGGGCTCTTCAGTTCAATTTGATGAAGGAGAGAAACAGAATCTAAGTTTCTACCTTGGTGTTCACATTATCTTGAACTAAACCCAAAGTAATGGAATAACCTTGTAAAATCAAAGGGTGGGAATTCACAGGGTGGGAAGACAGTTCCAAGCAAAGGAAAGGAGTGTAATACTTCATGTTTCTTCAGATGGGGACATGTGGGATTTCTTCGTCTGGGGACATGCATGTGGAGTCGAAGCTCGTGGTAATTGTTGGTGTGTTCTCTTAAGCACGGTATTTTGCTGTGATTTTTGGAAGGGTCAATCGCTTGCAGAGATTTAAGTAATAACTTCCTGGTGGGTGATTCTCCTGGTTTTATTTATGCTTTTTTTTGTGTGTGCCTGGTTCACTAAAACGCAACACCTTTGCTCCTTGGTACAGTAAATGTACTCTGTAATATCTATTATGGTACAGTCAAAGGATAATTTATTGTCAGATAGGAAAGTAGGTCAACACTAATGTCACTTGATGATCAACCCCCCAAGTTTAATAAAACACCTCACCAGCATGCATTCTGCACAGGGCTCGATGTTTTATTAGGACTACAGTACCTTACAGTACCTAGCTGGAGCGGGAGTGTAATTACTGAGCTGTCAGGGTGATAAGTGGGATTAATGGCAGCCTGGTGCACTTTAGTCTGCAGAGTGCTCAGAGAAGCAGAAGATGGTATTATTATAAGAGAAAGTCTGGCCTGGCATATTCATGGCACCCTTCCCTCCTCCCCAAAACTCACATTCCAGTTTGTGTTACCACCACCACCCCCCTCTCCCAGTAGCTGACATTTTCAACAGCTGTTACTTGTGAAAACAGCTCAAAAATCCAAAGAAAAATACTGTGGTGAAGATGCTTGTTAGCCACAATGGGGAATCTGGGCACTGCTTATCATAGAGTGTATGGAGCCAGACTGCTTTGGGTGGGAAAGGACCCCTTGTCCTATCACTGCAGTCCCTGTTGAAGGTCCCTCTGCAGCATCCTTGCAGCCCCCTTCAGACACTGGGAGCTGCTCTGAGGTCTCCACGCAGCCTTACTCTGCCAGGTGCCATTCTAGTCATTTTTGACATGAAATTGTTCTATATATAATCGACATCAATGCTTTTCCTGTGAAGTGCCATGCTTTTGGTCTTGGACACAGGACTTTTGTGTTTTAAAGGAAACCATGTTCAGGAAAGAGAAGAGCAAAACGATCATCCGAGCCCTCATACTCGTGTATTTTGTCTACTGTATCTCCTTTTTCTAGTACTAAAGCTTTGCTGTCTTTCAATCTGCTTAGACTGCAAAGACCTCTTGACTCAGTGCTCTGGCCACATCAACCCTCTGAGGTCCCCACTGGCCTGCTTTTGCTTGTTAAGGCATTCAGAACATGGGCCTGTCAGTGGGTAGTGCTGGGCAGTGTATGTTTAAGGTGTATTTAAGTCGCAGCTAAACCTACCGTGCTCTTCTGCCAGAGAGCCTCTGACATCTGGCTGCTTGAACTAGTAACCTGCGCTGGTGTCCAACCTGGATTTGGCTTTATCAGACTTCTCAGCTTTTGCAGCATCTGAGACCTTTTCTCCTTTAAGCATTTCCCCTGGGACCTTCTCCCCATCACTAGTTCTACGAGGAAATCCAAACAGCCTCTACCAAGTGCCTTCAGCTTGTGCCATGGTGCTTCACCCAGCCAGATGCTAATGAATGGGAAGATGAAAGACTAATCTTTCACTTAACTGGCTTTGCCTTCTCTCTTAATTGAAAAATCCCAACCAAAAAAGTCCCCAAACCAAGCCCAAAGCAATGCCTATGATTGACAGTCAGGCCAGTTTTTCACTGCAGGTATTTAAAGCATTTCATTCCTTTTAATATGCTTTTCATTTCTTTGTGTGTGCCGTTTCTCTGTGCACGTAGTCCACAGGTCCCTTGCAGATGTTCTATGTTTGAAAACACCCACTTCCAGTGACAAGTAACAATCCTGCAGGTGGACTTGTGGAACTTCAGTAGTTGTGCTCAGATAATACGTAAAACCCAGATTTTATTCTGTTTTCCATAGATTGTTGAACCCACAATTTACATGAATTCTGTCTGTTAGAGAAATGATCTTGAAAGAGCATCTGCAATAACTTAATGGGTTCTGAGATAATGGTAGTGTGGCATTTGACCTGTGGTAATTATTGATATGATTGAATGCCCCATCCCTGGCAGTGTTCAAGGCCAGGTTGGACACAGGGGCTTGGAGCAACCTGCTCTAGTGGAAGGTGTCCCTGCCCGTGGCAGGGGTTGGAGCTGGAGGAGCTTTAAGGTCTCTTCCAATCCAAACCATTCTGTGATTCTATATGTAAAACCAAAAGTGTGCACAAATTTGTGTTTAGTAGAGAACCATTTGACTTCTTCAGCTGACTTTTACCTTTGTTTTTCAATTTATTGTTACATTTCCTTACTGCAGATTGCATAGAACACCCTGAGAGCTTAATTCTTAGATGGGACTTGTGCAAGCAACCAGAGTGGTACATCACTGTGTATGTCACTGTTAGGGCCATGGGTTAGTGGTGGCCTTGGCAGTGCTGGGGTAATGGCTGGAACTTGATGATCTTAAAGGTCTTTTCCAACCTAGTTGATTCTGTCCTCATGGATGACCGTGCAGAAACAGCTAATAATTCCTTGCTACTTAAGATGTTTTAATATACAGTTAGGTTTTGTCATTAGGGATGACAAGAAGAGGATTTTGGGGATCTCCATTGGGAATATTCAGTAGTCTTATGCATTGTCTTCAGGGGTCACAGACATATCACAGGAAACTCATAGAGAAGTGACTTGAAAAATTATTAACATCCTAAGTCTTTGGCACATACAGTACAAAGTAGTTCTGCTGTGGAAGTACTGTCGCTTTTGTGTGTCTGATTATCCAACATCCAGAGTTTAATCCACAGTGACACTTCCAGAACTACATTAATACATTCGGATTCCCAGCACAGATGTTTTGCAAATAGAAGTATGATATGGTCAGAAGTTTAGCAATCTTGGATGCCAGGGGAAAAGTGACTTCTGTGTAATTAGACATTGTTTCCTGATACTTGGACATCTGTAGGCCATATGTCCATAGCTGCATCCTACCACCTGCCTTTGTAAAATGGAGTCAACAGAACATAACCAGTCAGTGTTGAATGCAAGTCAATAATGATCATGTTTTAATTTCGAGGTTTTAAATAGAAATGTAATGAAGATGCTCTGTGTTATTCCTTTGTGGCGTCTCGTCTACCATGCTAACTCGAAAACCTTTTTGGCAGCACTTGTGTTCCACATCTCCTTGACATGTTTTCTTCTATTCCCTTAGATGCTTAAAGTGTGCAGATGCCCCCTGTCAGAAGAGTTGCCCAACTAATCTGGACATCAAGTCATTCATCACAAGTATTGCAAACAAGGTAAAATCAGGCTTGCATGTACATGGCAGCAGGTAGCAGCAGTTCTCTTGCTGAGTGTTTCAAGGTTTATCTCTACAAAGTGGTAAAACAAATAGGTTTTACAACAGATGCTTTAAAGCCCAACAGTTTTTAATTGGTTTGAGTTCTGTTCTGTGCCTGGCCAGAGAGTGGATAGAGCAAATCAGGTCACTCTTCGATGCTGTTTTGGGGTTCGATGGTTTTCAAACACAATGATATTCCAAACCCTGAGCATCATTACAAGATAGTTATTGAACCTTGCTGCTACCTGAGGAATTACAGTTGGAAACCTTTTTGGTTTTGGGGTTTTTTTTTAAAGAAGCGATGATAGTTTGAATTTGCTTTGGGCAGAAATTTGGCACGACGGTGGTTATCTCAAGGACTGTTTTCCTGCACTTTATAGTAAGAGGCTCTGACGAATGCAAATGTAGTCCATCACTTAGACTATTAATAAAATACAACAGGAATAAACTGTTAGATGAATAAAGAACCCCTCTTTGGAGGTCCTGTACCTTTTCCTTTCTTAATAGGCTGTTATACTGTGATCATCATGAAAACTTCAAAGCGTGAAGACATTATTTGGATTCGTGGTTTACAATTGACTTTTAACAGTCAGAACGAGAAACGAAGATGACAGCAAAGTTGATGTGACAAGATTAATTAGGCTGCCTGGGATAGCCTAGAGATGACTAGATATTGACTGCCCCATACCTTTTAAAACGTACTTCCCATCTGTGGGATCGTTAGGTGCCTTGTGATTTATTTGTCTGGAGAAGTCCAATTAGACTCATAATCTACTGGGGGTGCTACAAAGATTTTCTGGCTGCATTTTATGCTCTAACATGTCTCATTTAGATGCAGCTGAAAGGGCCAACGCAGGTAAAGCTGGAGTGAAGTGGGCAACAGCAGCACTGCCGTGTGCGAGTTAACAGCCACATTGCTTTTACTACACTGTGTGTTGTAGTATGAGAAGAGAAGACACTGGTAAATTCTGCACCTTAACAAGAAACATTAGGATAAGAGGAGCTATTAAGGTACATGTATCAATTATAACATTAACTGTGTGTTGATATGGTTTGCAGTAATTGGTGTTATGCCCAGCATCTGCATGTATCCTGTCACTGCAGCATTTAGCTTCCTGAATGTAGGTATCTCTTTGCAACCATACTATACTCTGTGTTGTATTGCTCCTTATTGCCTCTTCAGGAGTCAATATTGCTCTCTTCAGGCAAACAGAAGAGAGAAGGGACAAGGCAGTAATGAAACTGCCTGTCTCCATCTCATCATTGTGCTGTAGTTTGTTTAGGAAACCAAAAGCAAAGTTTATGGAAGTATTTTACCAACATGGTATTTTCGTAGTAAGAGATGAATTATTTACTGCTTTGAGCAGGACAGGGTGGTGTGTTGAGGAAAGAAGAAGGGCCTGATTATCAAAACACAAAAGCTGGGAATAAGGAAGCAGGGAAGGTGGGCTGAAGAGTGCCATAGAAGATGTCAGAAGAAGAACTAGTACCAGCAGCATCCTGGAATGATAGATTTGGTGGGTCCTTTAGACTCCGATAGCCTCAGAAATACTCTGTCTATTTGTGGCTTGACAGAAAGGGTAAATCATTGTAACCCTGATTCATTCTGAACCTGGTGAATCCATTACAGAGCAGAGAAAGTCAAGGTAGGGGGAACTGCAGAGCTTTGAGAGCTGTGTCTTAGCAAAGGTGCACCAGAATAATGTTAGGAAACTGCCTTAAATGGGTGAGTCTTTACCCTAATGAAGCTAGTGACCACTTACAGGTCTTAATAGGGCCAGATTTAACCTGTCAGATGGTCAGTGATCAGCCTTACAGAGTCTGGGCTGTTTGATGATAACTCTTTTAAATCATCTTGGAAGTTGCAGACGTCAGGGTTTTCCCTGAGCAGGTGACCTGCTCACTTGATGTCTTATGAGGAAACCCTGCTCTAAGAAAGCATCACCAGCGTACTACTGTTCCCTCAGGGGGCTGAACAGTCTGGATGGGGAAAATGAAGTATCTTAGATGACTGAAACGCACTTCCAGCCTTTCTGTTTGGACCCGATCCCTGTCTATGCAGAGCTACTGTATCCACTCTGAAGCTAGCTTTTATGAAAGGTATACAGCAGTTTTGGCAACTGCTTTGACCTCCTGTTGATGCCTGATAATTGCTTAGACAGCAGGAAGCATCCACGCGCAGGAAGTTTTCGTAAGTCAGGTGGCTGGTTTCTGCTAGCCAAGATGTTAGGATGGGAAATCGCATCCTTCTGTGGATTCCAGTTCCAAGTGTGAGTTCTCATTCGGTCTTGCCCATGGCTTTCTCTCCTTACCCTGCTGGAAGAAATTGAGAAGAACATGGTCGTGGAAGGATTTCTCTGCGAGAGCTGTAGCGCTCACGTAACAACCCACAGAAAACCAACACAGCACCCCCAAAAAACCCAACCCCCAAACCTAAAAGTGAGAAAACCCCACAACCAAATATATTTAGATGCATCATTCCTGGAGACACTCAAGGTCAGGCTTGGAATTCTTCACTTTTTGATGCATTTTCCCCTACACTTTTATTGGCAGAATCATTCAGGTATCATTCAGCAATCTGCTTGCTAATAGTTTTGTATTGATGTCATGAAAGTATTTCCTTCGCACGTAAATATCAAGGATATTTTAGATGTTGAAAATACTTTTCAAAGGGATAAATAAAGTTTTTTCTGTTTTCACCTTGTAAATAAGCTTCCTTTTTTAATCCAAAATCTTATCAATGTATCTGGTAGCTTCGAGACAAAACGAATAGGTGAAGGGTAGAACATATTTGAGGTCAGTAAACTGGGATGTACTTTCTAAGCTTATTGAAGTCCCTGTCCTGCTCCTGAATCTGTCTTCATCACTCAAGAAACTCCCTCCAGCAGGTTACCCTTCTACTTGTTTAGGAGGGATGCGTGTATCCCTGGTCCTCATCCCTGTGTAAGCAGTGAGCAGGATTGCACACAGGTATTTATTTAAACACGGTTCATTATTAATAGGGAGTATTTAGACAGCAGCGTACTGCAAATGAATTACTTTGTCAGGTATTTAAGAGCTCCGTTGTAGTTCGTTCTGCTGGCAAACTGCTCTAGCAATCATAAAAGGTCAGGGATTCTTGTTCTCTTAAGCCTGAGGCTTTTTAGATATTTACAGGCCATGTACAATGTAGCTGTTGAGGCTGTTCTGGCGTTAGACCTGAGCTCAGGAGTAGAAGACAGGGGAGGAGGGGCTGTTTCTGGGTTGAGAGGGTAATTGAATTGCCAGACTCAATGAGCCTTGAGCCTCTTTGAGAAAAAGGATGTCACTTCTGCTGCATTGTGCTCGCCGCTGTGACACGGTGGAGTTTAGGCCACAGCTTCCATTCCCTTTTCCCATACAAACCGGATTACAACTCCACTTTACAAAGGTACAATCTATTCTATTGTGTCTTGCCAGTCAGTGTTTCTCCTCGCCGTTGTGCCTGAGAGAGACCAGACTTCAAATTCACCATGCACCCACCACTACTTTTGTTTCTAAACATCACATGGCAGCAAACGAGTGTTCTGACTTCCAGCTGCTCTCTCCTTAAACACAGCCTCCTCGTTGCAAAGTGCGTATCCTTTGTTTTACAGTGCACAAGTGCCATCTTAGTTATTTCTTTCTTTCAAAGGAAAAACCCACTAAGAATAGGAAGTGTTCAGCTGCTGCAGAGGCAAGTTTTGTTCTATCCCTGAACGAGCACCAGGAGTGAGTTTAGGTTTTTATGTCCTCTTTTCCCTGTATTGATACGTCAGAGCAAGAAGGACTCAGTAAAATGGACTTCCAGCACCCGTCATCCTTTCAGGCTGACACAAGCAAATACTGTGCAGCAGCAGAAAATCCTAGAGCTTTCCAGAAGCAACTCTCATCCTGAGCACTTGCAGCTTGTCCAGCTTTCCCCTTGTGAGCAGAAGTGTGTGCCAGAGGATGCTGCCCATCAGAAAGCAGCAGCTCTGCCTTTGTATCATTGAGTGAGACTTGGAGGCTGTGATCAGACACCTTTATGGTTGAGTAGTTGCATTGGAAAACAACTTGTTGGTGCAGTTCAGGCGGGGGGATATGAAGTTATATGACATGGCACAGGCACAAGGAGCGAGTGACTCAGCCTTGATAGTCTGAGTCAGTGATGAAGAATTAGGGGCACAGAAGTAGCTTTTGTGGTATCAGTACTCAAAAGTCACACTTTGTCGCTGAAAGTCTCTGTTCTCACATTTTTATCTCTAGTCTTGCAGTATTACAACGATTCCTGACATTGAGTCAACAGTTTCCTCCTTGATCTTCTCCCAAATCCCTTAATAATAAAGATAAACTGGTCTGAAGTGACACATCGACCATCTTCTAACAGACTTTATAGGTACATGTAAGCCTTCTGGTGGCCAGCATTAAAAAAACCCCAAAACAACAACCAAAACCCCGCCAGATAACCCCCAATCCCCAAACCAACAAAGCTACGCTGCCCTCTGGATAAAAGGTGGTCCCTGGACTATGCAGAATGCAGGTAGGGAAATGGAGAGAGAAATGAATGCCAGGAACAGAACAGAGAAGGTTGTGAGACACAAGTAAATTTTTGGATTTCAGGCTTAGGTTTCAATAAACCCAAAGGAAATGTGTGGGGTTTTCAGGAGGGAAATTCATTTCTTCAAGGGAGAAGTGGGAGAGGGAACAAACTGGAAGACAGAGACGGATACCAAAGGCTAAAGGTGAATCTGAAGTTTAGGAGATCGAGGGAGTAAAGGTAAAAGTGTCTGTGGTAACATCCTGGAAATGAGAAGGAAAGAAAAGCGCATGGAAAAAGAAGGCAAGAGACAAAAAGCTGCGGGATCATTAAGAGAAAATGAACTGAAGGATAAGGGGAAAGGGTGGAGAGGATTCTGACAGGTGAGAGGAACAGAATGGTGGGTTTTCTGTGCCAGAACTCTGAGTAAATTAGCAAAGGACATCTATATGCCATTGCAAAGACTGTAGAAACTCATGAGTCACAGTTCATATGTAAAACACTCTAAGTGGGATCCTGTTAATACAATGAAGGATTGTGGAAGTCAGAAAGCTGCTCGATGATTGGGAATAATTATATCTAGATATGCATCACAATTAATCTTTAAGTACTCCTCCGAGGCCCCGGCTTTGGGAAAGGGCTGTTTTATTCCGCTTTCTCTGTTAATCTTTATATATTCCAGGTCACTAAATACGAAAACCCCACGTTTTCAAGGAAAAGTAGTAATGGTGTTAAATTGATGCACTCGAAACAGTGACTTTTCTTGAGATGTCTGTTTGTACTTAGTGTAATGGAATGGCTGACAGCTGGTTTCAGTTGCCATCGTGTAATTATGTAGAATAGACTTTTGCGATGACACTATGTCAATTAAGGAATCTCTCACATTCTAGACTACAAAGGACAAAATGACAGTACAAGATATTCCTTCCGTTCTTCCTCATGAAAAGATAGTGACACTGTGTGAAATTACAGCCCCGTTCCGATGACACGAGTCAAAGGATGTGAAAGATTTCTGGATTGATTAAAAGTCATCAGCATTATAATACAGAATATGTATGATTGGAGAAGTTGCCGTTCTGTTGTGTTCCTTCTTCTTCGGAAGGTATTGGGGGGGGCGGTGACAGACTCGGGGGTGTTTCTTGTACTATTTGAACTGGTGTGTGTCAGTGTGAAAAAATGCTTCTTATATAACAACATACTTTAAATAGTGGCTCTTTGGTATGTGGAAGTATTTCAACCCAATCTATCTTGAGGAAATCTTAAAGCCATCGCAGAACATGAGCTGGGATAGGAGGTGGTGATATTTCCCCATAGGTTTTTTTTGCTACATCTCCCTTTTCTCTAAACTAAACCCAGACGAAAAGGAAATTGCCACTTTTTTTCCTTCTTTCCTCCTAAAGTCTTCACTCTGCCCCCCAAATCCTGATGGAGTCAGTGGATTCATTCTTATTACACAAAGCATCATAATGCATATTCTTCATTGTTTTGGAGGAAACGGCAATATCGAAACACCCTGATGCATAATGAATTTATGTAAAAAGCTCTTGAATCAAATTGAACAAAAAGATGCTATAAGCATTTCCTGATAGTAAATGCAATTGCTTCTGGTCTCTCAGTATTGATCCGATGTGTTTTAATAGGGTTTTTTCCAACTAAAACCCAGGCTCATTTGCATGCAAATTATATAATGCTTCCAAATGATACATGTGGAGATCCTCCTCTGCCTGGTTTCCACTGAATATTGATGTCAGTTTAAGGCTTGTTTTTGTTGCCTGTGATAGCAATGTAGTATTTATTGACATTTTGATGTAGGAAACCACAGAACATCCTATCCAGTTAGATTAATTTATTTCTATGGAAGTGCACAGGAAAAAAGGGGTCTGTGAACAAAGGCAGGAGCAGACATTCACCTCATTAAAAGATTCAGAAACATTCTAGTTCTTAGACTTGCTTCCTCTGTGACGTCTGTAAGAAACCAGCTCACTGAGTCATCTTATTATTTCAGCTTCTAAAAACATTACTCCAAAGTGTTAAGGCAGTTTGCATCATTCTGTGCCCTGGAGTGACTTGGTCATGCTAATGAAGCCAGTCTCCCTTTAGTTCTCATGGACATCGTACTATGTGCAGTTCTGGTGTCCCCGGCGTAAGAAGGACGTGGAGCTGTTGGAGCAGGTCCTTAGGAGGCCACGAGGCTGATCAGGGGCTGGAGCAGTCTTTTATCATTAAAACGTATTTCAAGTGGTAAGACTAGAAGATATATACTCTTTGATGCAGTTTACCTAATGTCTTTATATTTATCATGGTAAGATGTACTATATATATATACACCTGGTGGTGCTCTCACTGGAAGAGGACGTGATTCCTCTTTTTCTCTTGCATTACCACTATTTGTGGTAGCAGCAGCAAATCATGACCACGACAGCAACATCTCAAACCTTCCCAAATCAGGACCCCACCTACGTGTACTCCATCCTATTTCCCCCAAATTAAGAGTTCATTCAGTCTCATTAGGACTTCAGTCCCAGTCTCTTCCTTACAGAACTCTGGCACGATATTCTGAGACAGGTTTCCTTCAGTAAGCCATGACTTGAGTCCTGTTCAGTCCACAGTGCCCCTGGCCCCATCTCTCTGAAGTCACTTGCTACTTAAGTATACTCTGTCTTTCCATAGCATAGCTGTGCTCAAAGTTTGGTTTGAGCTTGCAGGAGAAGTGAAATGCACCAGCTCTGTTGATGCTGCCTGTAGTGGCACAGCTCAAGTGTGAGAATATGCTTTACAGATATGTAATAGAATTAAGTTTAAGAAGGAATATTTAACAGCTTGGCATCCTAGCCATAATAACTAGCTTTCTGTATTGATTTTAATTACAAAACCTAAAAATGTAGGAAATCCTTAATGAAGTTACTTAACTGGAAATGCACATTGTTTCCATTGAACCAGAGTGGGAGATAATAACTATCCCGGACAACACAGGAAGGGAAAATCTAACTCTCATATGTAGTGAAATATCAAACTGAATGGGAATTCTTTGGAAACCATTTTGTCTTTGAGTTAGTGAGAAAAATCCCCACTACTAGTTTGTAATGATTCCTTTGGAGTGGAAAAAAGGATTGGTCAGATGGAATTGCCTGGGGAACAGACATCTAGTGCCGCTTAAGATGCTGCAGGGTCCCTAGGCTGGTCTCTGAGTACTGCTTCAGAAAGATGCAGGTCTCCTGCATTGACTGTGTCACCTCTGCTGTCTGCGTGGTTGTGTGTCAGGGACATCTCCAGTATAACTGGACTTGTGTGTTTTGCTGCTGAATCAAGCTTGCAATGGCTTTACTGGCTGTTTTTAGCAGCTTTGACAAGCTCTGGCATGTCAAAACAGCATCACTCACCTGAAAGGGCAAAAGTATTTGCTAATACGTACAGCTTTTGTTTAATCCTCCTTTATATTGGACTAAATGAGAATTGGGGATGATAAAGTGCCTTAGCAGTCACCAGGGGCAGAATGGTTGGAAGTTCTCCACCAAGAGTTGTGTAAAGGGTTTGGATTTTAATAGTGCCTAGGAAAATCCCATGCAAGTACACCCAGGTTTGTGTTTCCAGGTGACGGACAGGGGCTTGTGCTGTGCAGTTGACCAGTATCTGTAAGCAAAAGTTCCAGTTACATCTACAAATGCATCTCTTAAACATTGGCTTTCTGCTGGGAATCTCAGCTGTGTCTATAGCATCAGGTTTAACTTCAACGAATTTTATGCTCTGTCTTCTAATCCATCTTTAGTGAATGTGAACCTTCCAAACCAAAGCCTGTTGCTCATTGTTTTGTCAGATCTTGACACTGCTCTTTTTATTCGTAACTGGATTCTTGCTCTCTGTGGCATAGTGTTCCCTTTGAATTTCTCACTGAAGAAACTTCTGTGGAACCTCAGCTGTGTGCTGCGTACAGGGTTGTCTTCTGGAAGCTCTGCCATTAACCCAGCTTCATGGACTTCCCTTTGTGGGGCTTTCTGGAGTGGATGGGTAAAATGAAGAAAGAACTAGAATCTACATGAAGTAAAATTCTGTATCAACTCTAAAGCAGTATGTAGTTGAAGCAAAAGAATTCAGAGGTGTAGTTTCTACAGATAGGTACGTAGGAAGCCTTCTCCTCTTCTTGTTGTGTGCCTGGGACAATTGGCACTACTGATCTGGTGTGAAGAACAGGTCTATCCGCAGAGGTGGTGTGCACAGATGTGTGAAATAAGCTTTTCATTCTCTGTGTCAGAAAGGACTGATAGATCTAAGTGGCACTTTCTGCTCAGCTCTCCAGCAAGGGTTTCAACTGAGCTGCTGCCCAATTGACTTGAAATAGAGAAAGTATTTACAAGTACCTAATGCAGGCACAGGAGTTTTCAAACATAGATTTGCCGAGCCACTAAAAACCCTACAGCCACCTCAGAAAGAAGACACTTTCAACTGATTTTGCAAGCTAAAAAGCTTTATCTTTGCAGAATCAACAATTCTGCTTTCTTTTCAGTGTCTTTGACATAATGCAGATTAACATTGGTGCATTTAAACAATGTCAGTGTTGTTTATGATACTCTTATATTATTCCACTAACCACTTCAGAACAAGTACTTTGTATTTGCTCTTGGATTATTGCTTCCGTGGTTTGCAACACTCTCTCACTCTCTCCTTTTCCCCCCTTCAGAACTACTATGGAGCTGCCAAAATGATTTTTTCTGACAACCCCCTTGGTCTGACGTGTGGAATGGTGTGTCCAACATCAGATCTCTGCGTTGGTGGCTGCAATTTGTACGCCGCTGAGGAGGGACCCATTAATATTGGTGGATTGCAGCAGTTTGCTACTGAGGTAGGTCGGACTTGCAAATGTCTTAAATTCGTTGTATGTACCAATGAGTATTGTCTAAGTGGTTGCCTACGTTCATGGTTTGTTTAAGAAAAGGTTGGTACTGATAAAACAATGGCATAGGATGTTAAATCATTATCTTTTACCTTACAGCACATTCAGAAGCTAAGAAATGCTTTCATAAGGCAACACTTTATAGGGACATAAGGAACGTTATTTGTGAACAAGATGACTCTTTAGAACTGTTGGTAGCTGAGACAACTTGTTTTCTACCAAAAGGTTTATTCAGATGATTTAGGCTTTTAACTGTCCTGTTTTGTTGAAACTAAGTAAATAAGGAGTTTCAGGTCGACCTGGAATAAATGTCTATGTGCATCTGTGTGTATCTATCTGGATAGATAAGAGATACATGTGTAAATTTGTCAGTTCATAAAGGTATGTGTATATTTTGGCTACTGAAGCAAAGGTTGTTACTTGCCATTTGATGTTAGGAAGTCAATTATTGAGGGTTTCTGGTGAGGGGAATGTGCATTATTTGTGACTATATAGTTTCAGTCACTCTCTGCAACTGCCTGACAGGAGGATGGAGTGAGGTGGGGTAGGTCTCTGCTCCCAAGGAATAAGGGATGGGGCAAGAGGAAATGGTGTCAAGCTGCCCCAGGGCAGGTTTAGGTGGAGCTGAGGAACAATTCCTTGCCCAGAGGGTGCTCAGGCGCTGGAACAGGCTGCCCAGGGCAGGGCTGGGGAATAGTTGAACTGAATGAACTTAAAGGTCTTTTCCAACCCTGCTGCTTCTCGGATTCTAATTTCCTTCTGAAGAAAGGCAAAGGATGCTGCTCATACGTTAAATCCTTTGCGTGCACGGAGAATTTGTACTAAACTCAGCTGGCACCTGATCTCATCTCTCTGAAGTGTCTTTGTGTAAAGTGAGGCTGGACGAAAGAAGGTAAATGTGTACATTAAAGACTGCAAATTTCTATGCAGTCCTTAACTAATAAGCATGTCCCTCTTCTGCATCTTGGGCCATTTGGCTGATCATATTTACAAGCATACAATGAAATTCCAGTCACCTTTACAAGGCCCGAGAAAACCCCCAACAACTTTGTAGAGACAGCCCAAAACAGAAAAGCAAATCAATGTGAACTAACAGATGAGACGTCTGCAAGGCCAACCTTTGAACTGTGCTGTCATTCAGAGCCTTCACACCCCTTTCTCAATGGCTGTGGGTCATGATTCGATGAGCAACCATTGCGACCTGCTGCAGTTCTTCTCCTTAAATCTGTTTGTACCCCTCTTTTCTTCTCTCCAGGAGACTTGCAAAGCTTCTGGAACACCTGCTAACCATTTCTGCTAGCTGCTGCTCAGCCTTCTCTCCCATCTGTCATTTGAGTAGCTATCCACTTCAGTTTTCCAGAGGTTTGAACATACAAGTGTAAGAATGGGTACAGATTGGACCAAAGCTCTCCCTCACAGGACGAGACTTGAAGCAGTGAATTGCGTTTGTTCTCTGTGTATACTCAGTACACGTGTGTATATATACAGATAGAATAGAGTATATATATAGATAGAATATATGTATATACATAAATTCTATGTGTATAGTCAGATTTTATCACTCGAGACAATTTTATAAGCTTTTCTTTGAACAATCTTTGTTCCTTATACTTAAAATAGACTATTTTTTGCAAAGCAGAAGACTTTTTGCTTTAAGAAATCCAAGCAACCAACACAAACCCAACAAAACCCCCCCTAAAAAGAAAAAAGGAAACCTTAACCACTTGTCAAATAGATGATAAATACGATGGTGAAATATTAGTGTTTAGGAACCAAATGCAAGTAATATCTGTTAAAACTTGATTTGTGTCTCCTTTTAGCCCTAATGCTATGATTAATAGAGAGGAATTACGGCTTGATAGATAATGCTAAATATCTGCTATTTTTCTTCAAAAATCTTTAGAAATCTATTAAAAAAGCTCCGTGCTAGCACAATGATTGATAGGAAAACTGCAGAGAGGATGAATGGCTCCAAATGGCTTCGCTCCTCATGTTTCAAGTTTGTTTAAAGTGACAGTAGTTGTAAGAAAATCAGATTGTTGCACAGTTCTGTTTAGCACTGTAACAAAAATAACCTGTCAGGAAATTTTATCATCTTGAGTATTTTGTACTATCCTAAAATGTTAAAATTTGGTCTCAATAACCTTTAGATTTACTGCTTTTTAGCAAAGTCTTTGTATGTATTGTAGTACTCAGAATAAGTAATAATAGGCAGTCGGTTTTGTACTCAGTGTTGTTGGTTTAGGTTTCATTCAGTTAAAATTGACTGGGAAAGTATGTATAATGGGAAAAAACAATGGTGTGAATGCTTCCAAGTAAAAAGCATAACAAAAATATAAAATACCGAAGAAAAGCATAAGGTTCTGTTGCTCATAGAAAAATTGGCCCAGATACTGCAAGCCAAGTGTGCTCTCAGCTTTACTTATCTGAGTAACTTAGCAAATCGTGTAATTTAGGCATGCAACATGTGCTACTCTTAATGGGAGCTACATGGTAATTCTCATGTACTGTGTAATAGTTTGTCCCACAGGGGCTTATTTACTGAGAACTCCATTGTGCATAAAGCCAGTTTTAGACTTTTTTCCCCCTTGGAATTAGCCTGAGCATCATACACTTGACGCGTTGTGAGCGCTAATAAAAAGACACAACTGCTGGCTGAGATGAAAGATAAAGAATGCACCAAACCAGGAATGTGGCTTTAAAATGGCAAATATATGGGTATGATGTGTGCCCCTTTGTGCTTCTGAACAATGACTGATCATTTGTTCACACTGCAGATAAAAATCCCTAATTGTGAAATATTTGTCTTGCCTACGGTAGAATGACACAAAAATGGCACCTCGCACCTATTCCCATCTTCCTTCTGCCCTTCCATAGAGTTAGGTAACTGCAGTTGGCTCATTCTTACAGTAAATTGTAACCCAGGCAGGAAAAAAAAGTGGCTTTTTGAAAATTAAATGTTCAAATGGGGGGAAAAAAAGAGGAAACATCCGTCTGTATTTGTGATGTAGAATGTGTGCACTAGGATGCAGTTACCACGGTAACTGTTGCATCTAGAGAATAACATGGAGTAAAAGCTCACTATTATAAATGATGAGTGTCAAGCACAGGTTACACCTGCTGCTGCACAGGTCAGGATTATATTAATGTCTTTATCTGTCTCCTTTGCCCAAGTACTTTAGAATCAGGGAACATCTCTGGTTTTGGAACACAAGTTCAGTGAAAATATACTGAGATTGCAGCGACAATACAGACAGGCATGAGCTATGTGACTGTCAGTCCCACCGAATAAACTAAAATTACTGGTTACTCAGGTACAAGTTTGTAAGCCTGTAGTAAAAAGGAAGCGTGATCTATTACGTTGTCTGTTGTAGTATTAGTAAGGAGCCCGCAAAATCTTCCTTTCCTGGATAGACATCACTGAATTGAAAGGTTCTCCTGTGTTCCTAGTTAATCATTCTGAATAGAGTAGCACAAGCTAAATAGAAAAGGTATTAATTTAGTTGCTGCATGCTAGATTTAAATACTAGATCATTTAGTGCTGCAGCTCTTGTGCCAGCTACAGTTCTGGTGATTTGTTCCTCTCTGGAGATATATTCTGGCTGCTGCTGCAGCAGAAAGAAATTGAAAAAGGAAACTTGGTATGTTTTTTTATCCTAAAAGATGCATTGTATGAGCTTCCCTGCTGCTAACCTAGGGGCATCTCTGCAGGGCTGGGAGGTGGGTTGTGGTGAGGGTTCCCCACCGGATGCTCAGCCTCCCTTCTCCCCCAGCCCACCACGTGCGAGTAACCAACAGCTACTCCCTTGGGTTCAGGGTGCCTCATTTAGTTGCATATTGACGGCCCTGATCAGTCTTAACATAGAAGGTGGTTCTCGTGGAGCCTTCTGAAGTTGGATGGCCTTGGGATGGCTGCCTGGACCCATCACCCTCACCCTCACCGGTGCTGCATCAGCAGAGGAGGGTTGTTCTGGGGAGAGCAGGACAAACAGAAGAAAACTCTATTTATCAGTACTCAGTTTTTCTTTGAAGTCAGGTTGAAATCTATTTCAACCAATTATAAAACTTTAGGCTTGTCTAAAGGGGATGGTGCAGATTTTGATGGCGATTCAGGGCATGAATCTGAGGACTTCTCACTGAAGCTGTGGCTGCCCCATCCCTGGCACTGTTCAAGCCCAGGTTGAACAGAGCCTTGGGTGACATGGTCTGGTGTGAGGTGTCCCTGCCCCCGTGGCAGGGGGTGGGACTGGATGGTCTTTAGGGCTTATGAATCTGAGGACTTCTCACTGAAGCTGTGGCTGCCCCATCCCTGGCACTGTTCAAGCCCAGGTTGAACAGAGCCTTGGGTGACATGGTCTGGTGTGAGGTGTCCCTGCCCCCGTGGCAGGGGTTGGAACTGGATGATCTTAAGGTCTTTTCCAACCCAAACCATTCTATGGATCTATGACTTCTGATATCTCAGGCCAGTGCTGAGAGACTTGCTGATATTTGGGCATGTTCCATAACCTTCTCCACAACATGTTTTACAGACATTAAACATTCTTTGGTTTAAGGCATTTAGATTAATGTTGCTGTGTCCTTCCTAGTGGTGGGATTCATGACTCGGCAGTGTCCTAGATCCGTGGGTTTTCTTGGGACTGGGATTATACTAAAATACAGTTGTTAAGTAGCTTTTCTGCCTTAGATATTCAACTGCCCCATATTAATGGAAACCAGCCTAAGGAATAAATATCCATGGAAACCAGTGGGGAAGTGTGAAACTAATACAATTGGTTCCTCAATGTTACTGATTTCGTTGCCTGTATTTTTCTTTCTGTGTATGAGTGAAATCAGATAATAATTCAGAATATACTAATATGTTTCACACTAAAATAAATACCAGCCAGATGCTGGTACTTATTTATTAAACAGCTACATCAGTAGCTGTTTGGTGTCTCATCATATTAGTGAAGGATATTTAATGGCAAATCCGACTGATAAACTTATTTCTATAGGGTTTAAGCATGGAAACAAGCATTATGCCTCTAGAAGAAAGGATTTAATGGTGAAGTCAAGGCTTATGTTACTAAAAGATTCAGTTTCCCCCCTGCTCCTTCCATTTCTCCCATTTTGGGTTTTTTTCTCAGCTTTTTTCTTTTGATGAAGGTGATAGATTAAACCATGAACTTTTTCCTTAAGAAATGTGACCTTGTGGGTAAGTCTTGGAGGCTCCCAAACATGCTTTTTAGCAGCCTATCTTGATTCACACAATTTGTCAAAGGATTTCTTACATTTTAACATGGAGGTTTAACTTTCAATCTATGTAATGCTTTCCTTAAGACATTCTTTGCCATAGTCCAACAGGTTTTAACTACGGGTGGATTAGACTGAGACTGTCTGACTGTGGTTGAACTCTGTAAATAGGTGGAGAAGGGTGTCCACAGCATTCCTATGAAAAACTGATTGGAAAACTCAAAAGTGCCTGAAGTGAGTTACTTTAATTTATTCTAATTTCTAAAAAAATTGAAATCATGGTTCTGAATAACAGCTCCAAACCTGCTCTGGTGGTTTTAAATGGTTTAGCTTCATTTAAATCATGCTTACTATGCCATAAAATTATTTTCATCTCGTTAGCGGAATGCGTTTCTCTGAGTCACCTGCCACTCTGCCAAATGTCACATCTTTTCATCAAAACATGCTAATACTAAAGCATGAGGAATTTATTCCATGAGGAGAACAATAAGCTTTTCCCTGTCTGCATTCTGAAAACCAGCTACAATGAGCTGGCTGAAACTTTCCAGGAAAATGAAACTTGTATCAGATGCTCAGCAATTGAACTCAGTGTCGTTCACTTAAGTGGGAAATATTGTGGAACCTTAATACAAACTTGTGTTTGCACACAGTGCCTGGAATCCTGCTCTTTGTCAGGTATACCAAACGTTTTGGAACAAGAACCAAGCTCACTGCACTGAAAGGATGTTTAAATGACAAGGGAGAAGAGAACAACCCCCCATATTTCGCACTGGAGGGAACATCGAGCAAGTGCACTCACACCTTTACATGTTGAAGTAATGCAACTTCAATATGTAATATGTTATAAACGTCTAAATCAAGAGAGACTTTAGTTCAGTTGTTGGAACTTGAGCAGAATAGAGTGGCTGTTTTGGTTTGGTCAGATTGTGTCTTGCTTGAGGGCAGCCTCCATAGTCTTGTTCTGTAAACTGGGGGATCCTTTCTGTTGACCCTGGTGACATGTAGCTTAAGAGGCGGATGGAATCTGTGTGTGTTTGGTTTGAAGAGGCCCTAGATGGTGAAGTAATGATGATTGCATAGTATTTGATAAATAGTTAAGGAATAGATGCCCAGTGCTATTAATGTCTATTAATAATCTAATTAATCTCTATTGGTTGTGTATGAGAGAGCCAGAGGGAAAGGCAGACATGGGGATGATGGCTTAGTCTTTCCACTGAGAGATTCAGCTTTAAAATCCATTATTTGGTCTCGTTTTCCTGCGTGGGTCTTGGTTAAAAAACACTGCCAAACCAAATAAACCCTCCATCCAAACAAAAAGGAAGTCCTCTTTCTGAAGGGAAGGGGGACAAGAATGGCAATAGTATTAAACTGTACTTGCACACAGACCACAGTCTGAGCAGACTAAAACTGGAGGTGAAGTTGGAGGTGTCCCTGCCCATGGCAGGGGGCTGCAACTGGATGATCTTAAAGTCCTTTCCAACCCAAACCAGTGTAGGATTCTATGACAATTGTGTGTAATGTGGCATTGAACACTTGCTTGCCAGGCAGGTCATCTCTGCACTCCAAGGGATTTGTCCAGAAGAATTCAGCGATATTTAATTGAGTGAATTACAGCGAAGGGAAACTTCACCAAGAAGTGAGTGAATATCTTTTGAGATGCATTGGAGCAGTTTGCTATTTTCACACAGTTACCATGCCAGCCTTAATATGCAAAACTGCCACTGAATTCCAGATGGCAAGATATGCAGCGCAGCCAGCTTGTGCAGCAATAAAGAGACTTTCACCCTCTTTGTAAATAGGCAGAATTTAAGCTGACCATTCAGCCTGAACTACTAGGATTTCCTGCATGAGTGCTTGGCTTCTGAAACTTAACGCTGCACTGTGGTAGTGTGGCACTTTAGTATCACATTTACTGGATGGGTATCACTATTCAGTAGTAAGTATAAGCATAATTATGTTATCCATAAATTGGTAATACATTTATTAAGTACATGCACATTCACAGTGTTCAATATACACATGAAATATGCAAGTTATAATTTTGTATTGCTGAGTAGCCTCCTAGAACAACTGCAGGAGACTTTAATGGCAACTAGGTCTCTTTGAAGCCCTTTCTGGGTGGATGTAACAAAGCAGAGATCTGAGAAAAACCCAGGCACATTTTGGTTATCGCAGTCTCGTTTCACAGCCCAACCATCAGCTTTTCAGCCTGTGAAATCCATTAATAACCACATTAAACCTTCACATATTGTCTCTTTGTCAGGTTGAAATGATTCTTTTTTAAGAACAATTATCTGTCTCCTTCCTGCTCCTTGCAGTTGGTTAAAATGCTGTGTCAGTTTACAAAGACTGGGGGAATTTGACACAGGAATTTGAGAGGGGGAAGGAACTCATAATTGCTTTACCTGGCATGAGTGCTCAAGTGCGCAGGGAGAAAATGAACATTGATTCCAAACATAAATGAAAAATCCTCCTCGTGAGTGGGATTTCCAAAGTTCAACTTGAAAAACCTTTTGACTTCTAAGGACAGTGAAAACTGTTGTAAACTTGTGAAATAGCTTCAACAGGATGTTCATTAAGACAAAAGACGATGCGTGTATTTTAGAGAACTAGTTGGTACTTACGTAGTGCGGTTCTGCATCGATGTAGATGGGGAACGATGTTGACTTTTGAGGTGCACCTTTGAGGTGTTTGTGATATGACTGAGAATCCCAGCCCTCTTGTATCCTTTCGGTATATTGTGCTTCTGCCACTGAATGTGCTTTTCCATGCTCCTAATCTTTAGCAGCTTGCAAAGGGCTGTGAGTCTATTCTTTTTCCTTTTGTAGGTTATACAAGATAGAGACTTCATTCCTTCCTCTACAATGTGTGTAAATGCAGAGCACAGTGAAGTCTAGCTCAGTGCATGCAGAACATTTCTGCCCTAGCCTCCTACCTGTATGGCTGAACAAAGAACTGATTAAACCCAACTCGGACAGAACTTGTGTGATACTACAAGTAGGACAGGAGCCCATTGTGCTGGGTTCTGTATAAATCCATTACAGTGATCAGAGACTGTCCCAAAGTACTTTTAATAGTCAAGGCAAAATGGAGCAGATCATCACCATTTTACAGGAGAAGAATTGAGGCAGTTCAGGGGAAAACAGTCTAACTTTCATTATACCTACAACTTTTGGACACCTGCTTAAGAAGTGGAGAACATCTGACAGAGGTCAGCAACTCACATGAAATAAGTTGTCTTAAAATGATCTAACAGGAGGCATTGGGTTACCTTTGAAAGTGCTGCACTGAAGACTGGGAGCAGTTCCTAAAAAGATTTCAAAACCACCTAAGGTTGGTTACTACCACCTCTAAAAAGTCAAGCCATAGGTGATTCATCCAGGGTCACACAAGATGTCTCTTGGAGAAACAAGATTGTCACTGGCATGACAGTCCTTTATGTTATTAGCAGGAATACTTTTCTGGTGGTAAGAATACTCTGAAGGTTGTTTGGAAGGAAGTTTTTGGTGTTACAGAGATTCTCTGCCATCTGGCTGACATTGTATTACTGGTAGTAGCACAACCATCTTCTCTGTAAGGTTCTTCTCAGAAAGTTCCATCTTCTCTGTAAAACTCACAGTAGTGGAGACAAAAAGGACTAAACCCTGCAACTACAGTATCTCTTACATATGCACACGTCATGTCATTTGGGAATTCCTATAATGTTCTGAAGCAATCTGCAATGATAAATCAATGATATGTGGCAGCATTAGTAGAAGCATCCATCGTGTTACTCATAAGAAAATGTAAGGAGGGAATGTAAAGTATGTAACCTGTTGTATTGCTTTTCAGGTGTTCAAAGCTATGAATATTCCTCAGATCAGAAACCCTTCATTACCTCCTCTAGAAGATATGCCTGAAGCCTATCACGTGAAGATAGCTCTTCTTGGTGCAGGACCTGCAAGTTTAAGTTGTGCTTCCTTTTTGGCTCGATTGGGCTATTCAAACATCACCATATTTGAAAAGCATGAGTACGTTGGTGGCTTAAGGTAAAACCCAATGACAGTAAAGCACTGATTGCAATGATTGTAGAAAGCACAACAACAACTGTCGAGCAAACATAGTTTATACACAATCCTTTACCAAGGAAGAGAGTAGAAAAAATCAGTAATTTAAATAATTCCTCATTCAGGTTCAACCAGGTACAGTTACAAGGGAGCTTGAACTGCACATCTGGTGGCTACCTCCTGTATTCTCTTCATATGACCTCTAAAATTCCTGGGGGAAATTGTTGTCATCAAATGAACACTTTAGAACTTGATGTCAGGAACCATTTTCCCCTTGTAGGGTTGGAAAGGACCTGAAGATCATCTACTGCCCAATGAAGTACTTGTAGCCCTACATAGCAAAAGAATTTGTAGATGTTTAAACTGTTTTATACTGATACTAATTTAATGGAGAATTTTAAGTGTTGAATGTGTTCAGGAACTACCCTTTTGCAAATAGAGGTGACAGTGAATAGATCTGTCCCATGTGCCTGGACTTGCAGCTGTAGTAACCACATCATAAGAGGAAAAACCCTCCTACAATTCTCAACCTTCATCAAATTGCAGATGCACAAAGGAAGGTACCCTTGCAGGTTTCCTATATGGTAACCACTTGGCTGATAACTCTATGGTGTCACGTCCTCTCTACTAGAAGGTGAATTTCTCTCACCGTGGCAATGCTGAGATCATATCTTCTAAGTTTCTTGGGTAAGATACTGTATTTCAGAAGCGAACTAGTGGATACCAACCCATTCAGAATCAAAATCAAATTTTATATGTTGAAGATGTACTCACACTAAAACCTTTATCAAGAAAGAGATAAAAGAAGCAGAGAGAGAAGGGTAACACGCTCGCGTTTCTCTTTGCAGCATCACTGAAATCAATAGGTTTGACACCATTAATGAATTTGATCCATAATGTCATAATGTCAAATACTTATTCAGTGCTCTGGAAGAGAATCAATGCTGGAGAAGTTGAACAGATTACTTGCATTTCTCCCAGTGAGGCTCAGAAGTATTCCATCTAATTATTAAGGTGTTTATATATAACTGTGGAGCTGTTTTACTTGAGCTGGTTGCCATAGAGGATTGCAAATGCGGTATATGAAATACCAGCTCACCTGCTGAGTAGCATATGCTTTCATAAATACCAGATTTATAATCAGTTTTTAGTAGGAAATAATGACATGTTTCTAACAATGAAGCTTTACTTGGTGACAGGTTAGACTTGGCAGCGTAATACGGTACGTTCTGCAGTTGCTTACAGTTCAATCCTTCAGTTGCTTCTTGTGTGCTTGCATATTTGAAGCGATGTGATCTTAAGTTGCATCTGTTCTTCACATTTTAAGTTGAATTCAAAGGAAAACTCAGTCTGTTTGTTCTACTGCAGAAAGCCTTACACTTCATTTTGCCTGCTCTGTTAGTGTCCTTAGTGGTCAAGCAGAGCGGCTTGAAAAGGAGTTCTTTTGAGTCTTCAAGAGCATATAGCAATCAAGGTTAGATTTTGCTTCCAGTCATTGGAGGAAGTTTCACATCTGGTTTAAGGGCATCAATTCCTGTTGTTCTTATTTTAATCTTGGGTCAGAAGGGAGGTTAGCCCCTGGCACCAATCATTCATTATTGCATTTCTAAGTCTTTGCAATCCATCTTTTAACGAATTTAGGTTATTGATGGGTGTGTTTTCAAGGCTTCATAAACTATTGCAACTGGCTGACAAGACCAAATGAATGTTGTATTGGGAATCAGCTGCTTTTTAAAAGTGTTTTTTAACTAGGGTGTTCATTCACATACATGCTCCATCAAAGCTAACTGTAATAATGCTGTGGCAATAGAAAGGTGTCTAGTGACTGCAGCTCTGTGCTGTGATATGTAAGCATAGCTGAAGCCTATGGTTGTCTGAACATGTCTGAATTCTTCACCTTCACAGGCTGGTTTGCCTACATTTCACCAGTTGTGTAAAATTTATGCTTAATAGTAGCAGAGTAGGCACGAGCAGATCATGCTCTTGCTTAGACACTGAACAAGCTTCGCTGCTTGCGCTCCTAGCAATGCCACTGCTTTACGACATACTTTCTTTCACTAGGCCAAAGGGGGCATCTCTTAAGCAAAGGTACTGCCCTAGAAACACCAGGCACCTCTAAATTGGATCAGATGTGTAGAAGAGGTGAATCTGTGACAGGCTGTTCCCATCCACTGCATCCCTCCTCCACTGCATCCCTCCTCCACTGCTGCCCCATTTCTTTCCCCTGCTCTGCCTCCCTATTGCAGAGTCAGAGCCTGTCTTCTGCTGCTGAAAGCAGTTGTATCAGAATAATTGATGTATCAGGAATCTTGATCAGCATGATGGCTTCTATAAAATGCTTATTGTCATAAATGTGCGTGCATGTGTCCCCACAGAACCGTGTGTTTGCATAGGAGCATGTAGGTACCTATATGTGGGTATATTCTGCAGCACAAAACTGTAAGTAAATGTTTAATAAGAGCAAGAAATAGTTCACAAGTTCTGGTGGTGACATAAAACAGCCAGTGGTGTTCTGGGGGCATGACAGGCCTCCAACAAATATATAGATGGCTTGGAAAACAGAACTTTCCTGTCTTTATTAGATTTCTTTATCAAATCGCTGTTGCAGAATCATACTGATACATTAGTTTCTGCCTCAGACACCTTTTTACTTAGCATGACCTATGAAAGTTGTATTGTCATGGCATGTTCATTATATATTATCTCATATATAGAACACTTTTCATTGCACACTGGTCAGGAAAGGTGAAAAAAGGGCAGTCTTAGAAATTACAAGAAGGAACACTACTTTCTTATCAATACAAATAAAGTCGATGCAACTTAAAATGAAATCCTTCTGGCCCATCAAAGTTGGATGTTAAAGGTAGTGTGGTCACTAACAATAAGTAAAACAAAGCCACAATGAATCTCTTGGGCCAGTGCTTCGTTATGGAAATGATAGATCCATTAATTTGGAAACAGATTAGACAGAAGCTTGGAAATATCTGGGGAGAGATTCACTTTTTCTGCATATTCAGGTCTTTTATCTTCATTGAACAAAAGTACCTAAACAGGAACTTCACTGCGTTTACCTGGAATGTGTTTTATGGCAGGGATTTTGAACTGGCCTAAGTAGATGTCGTTTCATCGGAGATAAAGATTTGTACTGGTATATATGGACTGAGACTCTATGCTGGCACTGCAGTTTTCCCATACAGGAGATCTGTGGTTCTGGGAACTCAAAGATGTCATTCCAAATCTTCCCCAGGAGGAAAAAATACCAGATAACAAACATCAAGTGAAAAAGCAGACTTGAGACCAAGAGCTGATAGAAAATGAGTGTCTTTGTCCATCCTGGCAGCTTAATGAATCACTGCTAGAAGATCACTTTGCTTTTAGTAGCCATGAGATCTGTTCTTAAATGGATGTCTTCTGTTTGTTTAGTGTTACATATTCCCAGTGAACAAAAGAAATGGAGCTGAAGCTCTTTTGCACTCAAGCTCAACATATGTTAAATTGATACCTGCATGTGTGGGCAGGATTGGCCTCAAGATACTTCCTGGACTGTATTTTTAGCATTGGGTGAATAATGCTGTTTTGTCCCTCTAATAACTTAAAAAAGCCAAGCCAAGCTTCAGCGCATTTCCATTCACATATGTCAGAATTAACTAAGGTGTGCTGTAAGTATCGAAGTCGTAACAAATAAATCCTTTCTTCCTCATAGCTGGAAGTAGTTCAAAAGCATTTCTCTTTGTTTCAGTACGTCTGAAATCCCCCAGTTCCGCCTGCCGTACGATGTGGTGAATTTTGAAGCTGAGCTTATGAAGGATCTTGGAGTGAAGGTAATGAAAAATATACCCTGCCTATGTATAGCTCAGAGAGAAAAAAAGAGCAAGAACTCTGCCAAAGATTAACAGCAAAATGTCATGCACATTAGTAAAGAACAATTAAAAGCTATGCCAGACAGAGGCAGGAAGATGCTTCCTCTTGCTCAGGGCATTTGTCTGTCTCCTGTCTGAATGCCACTAGTTTGGAAAAGGGCAATCAATAGTTCTCATCTGGCATGCCTGCATGTGATTAATTGTCTGTAAGAAACAAATTCCTAAATTGCTTTAGGGGTTCAGTGTAGCCACTGGAATGATTTGATTTTTTTTTTAATCGAGTTTTTTTTTCCATGCAAGTTTGGCATCACTTAAACCATTCCTATTCCAGACTTCTCCTTTTGTTCCCTCTCCCTGAGTTTGGGTTCTCTCCTTAGCAGCTCAGCACAGCCTTGCATCCAAGTGAATCTTGTCATAAAATGCATAAAATGGAAGCGTTACCATCATCTTCCCTTGTAAAAAAAATAAGTCATTCAACTTCTTGGAAAGTCATAGCTGTGCATTATTCTGTTAAATAAATGTCTGTTGTTTCTAGATAATGGGAGCATTGCTTCATTGCTAATTTAGAGCTTGAGCTGAAGATTGAGGTAGTATTTACAACTGCTGCTCATTTTAATAGAAGTCACAAGCACAGAATGCATCACTGGGTCAAATCTTTGAGTACCAGGAAGGATAATACATTGTTAACATGATACTAAAGCATTTAGTGAAGAGTGAAGTTCTTCCAGGAATCTTTCACGTTGGTTCGTATTGTAAAAGCTTGTGACTTGTCACAAGAGTCATGTGAGAACCTCATCTGCCCAGGTTTCATAAACGTGCTGGGAAGATGGCAGATTTAAATGCTTTATGGCTGGTTTTCTACTCTAAAGATCCCTTTGCACCCCTTGAGAAGAGTGACAGAATGAAGGCTGAGTTAGGGATGAGGCTAAAACCAGAGCACTGAGACGCTTTTAGGTGAAATTGCTGGGCAGAAGCTCTGCAAAATCCAGTTTCCCAGGGCTCTCTCGTATGAAAAGGTCTCCAGAATGCACTGATGGAGCCACCATGTCACCTTGACCCGCAAGTCCTTGAAGTGCAGCCATAAATCTCAGCGTGAATTTGCTTCCAAGCTCTGCCACTGGTTTGCAGCTGACCCTTTGGCAAGCTGGTTCGTCGAGTACCTCAGCTTTATACCTCAGCTTTATATACTTCAGCTATAAGCCCAAAATATTTCCTGGTGTTTACTTAAAGCATTTCAAAGCCGTGGTGGAAAGTGCTGCATTGTGCAAGTGCTCAGTAGTGCTGTTTATTCAAGTAATTCTGCTGAAATTAGTAAGAATTAGTCAGCTGAATAAGGATTACAGAGCTAGGCCCTAGGAGTATTATGAATCCCCACATAAAATAGTATTGCCATTTAAATTCCTTCATTAGGGTTTCATAACATACATACACAATAGGATAAAAAACTGGAATGGCAATTTATGGAATGTATTTTGTTGCCAGTGAGGATGTAGTCTGTGTTCCTGAAAGGATTACAACTGCACGGCTTTTACACCCTGATAAAATCTATAATACTAAATGTATATCCTAAATCTCCAAAGACCAAAACCATAGTCGGTGTTTTAAGTTTTGTAGCCTGCATTTTACATCCGTCTTACTTTTTCACTGATAGGAAAAGTATATTAAATGGAACATAGATTCAGTAACAAGAAATACAGTGACACGAAGACTAGAGCACTACACATTGCTACGATCACAACACATAGTGCTTACACAATAGAGCATGGCATTTTGGAAAGTGAATACCCAGGTGATAGAACAAAACCTGGGGGAAAACATCCAGCGAGTGTAAAGCACAGAGATAAAAACACACATACCCATGTCAAGAAGGAGGAAATATCAGAAGGGGAATCACACACACTTTGCGCACTCCAAAGCCTCGGGGTTAGGAGAGCTGAGCAAAAGGTGTGTGTATCTTCAATTGCACAACTTTTACACAGGAGGCTGCTAGAGGTGGGTTGCTGAACACGCAGCAAACGCTATTCCCCATCTCACCATCACAACTGGAGTTGCTCAGCCTCTGCAGTGGCTGCTCAAAGCAGGATTGCTGGTGGAATATCACTACAGGAGCCTGTCAGCTTTTGCTTCTGGAAGTGAATAGTAATTGAAGTGAAACAAGTACAGGTTAGAGGCGCATTTTTATTGCTGTGGCATTCCTTTCAGTAAACCAGCACCAATAGCCACACTCTGGGCACTGTTGCTTGCCTGAATTAGAATTAACAACTGCGAGTTTGTATCAAAACTGGTCCAAATCTTGGTTTTAAAGTTTGAGAACCTTTGTTAGTTCACCACACAGAAGAGTCTGCTGCACTACAAGCAAGCAGGGCACAGAACGTTCTTCACACTTCCTGCCTTCTCCAGCCCAGTCTTTTGCAGGCAGGTTTTCTGAATCCCCAACCCCACCAGTGGCTTCACTGAGGGTTTTTGGCATAAAGGTTTTCTAGCTAGTGTTCTCAGTGCAAAATTCTGGCTGCGAGCTTTGAGAGTGCAGCACAAATCAATACCCTCCTTCCTTTGGGAATGGCACTGCATTCTGCGCAATTGGAGGCCTACCAAGTGCCTGGTGCTGTGCGGGAAAACATTGCTTGGTTTTCCGTTCAGAGCCCCTGTTAATACAGAACAGAGTCATGTCTTTTCTGTGTTTCTCTGTAAAAGGCTCATACTTTCACTCGTGTTGCTGCAATAAACCTAACTGCTCGGGTTTTGGTTGGTGTGCTGGGTGATTTGTTTAGCGTATGTTCCCTAAAGGATGTTCTTCTTCCAGATTATGTTTCCTAAATTTGTTATTTTCACATGGGAATACAACCTTTTGTAGGCAGCCCTGAATGTAGTGCTTTACTCACAGGAGAAAACTGCCATTTTCAGCTTTACTCCAGTAGTGTGTTCCATAAACAGGCTCTGTTCATTTGTTTAGCTTGCTTTAATCCTTGTAGCTCACAGCAGAAACCAAGCTAGCCTGTGGTGGCCCCCATCTGAGGATCATCTGAGGGTTCCTTTACCCATACCTCGTTTGGGCCACTTGCTTAAATCAGAGCTCATCTGGCTTTTTAAGCCTGGCTTGGGGGCGGGGAAGGGAAATGAGTTAGTTTTGTTCACTAGAAGATCCTGTGAGGTGTCTGTATGCAGGACATGATAGCAGTTATTCGCACATGAAAAGCAAGTAATCTTTAATTCTTTCAGATAATTTTTGGTAAAGGCCTTTCGGTGGATGGAATGACACTGCGGACCTTGAAAGAAGATGGTTACGAAGCAGTATTTATTGGAATAGGTAAGAAAAGCTCAGTGTCCTGTGTTTTGTCATCTTCTTAAGGCAATTATTTGTTAAAATGATAGATTTTTGAAGGAGGATGAGGATGTGGCTGAATGGGCTGATTTCTTGCTTGTTTAAGTAAGTAAAAAAGGGATGAACTAAAAACATACTTGTAATTAATTGCCACATTGGCCTAGGGTGATACACAAGTTGCTTTCAGTTTTTGCCAGCAGTTTACTATACTCACACAGTTACTCAGTCTATATGTAAGCCAGTGATACCGTGCTTGGTTGCTTCTTTTTTCTTTCCTCCATATAGAACATGTAACATCCTCCAGATAGGCTGTAGCAAAATGTAATTATGAGATGGGTTAACAAAACAAGCTGACTTTGACACTACAACTGGCATCATAGATCTGTCTCCTCTCATATGCTAAAGAAGTCCTACACCTGCCTGCTCTTTGAACCACTGCTTTTTAATATTAGATTAGAATTGTTATCCATTTACAAGCGTTTTGAAGTACAGCTGGACCCATCTCCACCATAT